TGGCCGCTATAGGACGCCCTCCATGAAGCTGGTGTCCAGGTGCTGGATGAGGACGCGGATGAAGGACATCTCCTTGCGCGTGTTCTCGAAGATGACGCGCGGGTCGTCCGAGCGGCAGCGCAGGCAGTTGGGCGCCATCACCATGGCCAGGTTGTTCACGTCCATCTTGGTCACCGCCACGTTGGCCGGCTGCACGAACACCTGCAGGAGGTCCAGGAGAAAGATGGAGGTCAGGGGGGTGGTGGGACACCAGGTGGACACCATGGTTCTTCACCACGTGGTGACCACAGAGAAGCCAAAAACACCTCAGGAGAAGGAAGCAGACCTGGAGGTCACCAGGAGAACCAAACCTGAAGGTCACCAGGAGCTCCAACCCACGGGGTGGATGGAGGACGATGGAGATGATGGGTTGGTGGAACTCCTGGTTCTTGTGCTGACCTTGGAGAACCCAAAACCACCTCAGGAGAAGGAACCAGGAGCACCAACCCATGGGGTGGGAGGAGAAAGATGGAGGTCAAGGGCGTGGTGGGACACCAGGTGGACACCATGGTTCTTCACCACGTGGTGACCACAGAGAAGCCAAGGAACCAGGAGGTCACCAGGAGAACCAAGCCACGGGGTGGGAGGAGAAAGATGGAGGTCAAGGGGGTGGTGGGACACCAGGTGGACACCATGGTTCTTCACCACGTGGTGACCACAGAGAAGCCAAAAACATCTCAGGAGAAGGAACCAGACCTGGAGATCACCAGGAGAACCAAGCCTGGAGGTCACCAGGAGCACCAAGCCATGGAATAGGAGGAGAAACGGGGAGGTCAAAGGCGTGGTGGGACACCAGGTGGATGTGGTTCTTCACCACGTGGAGACACAGAGAAGCCAAAAGGAGAAGGAACCAGACCTTGAGGTCACCAGGAGAACCAAGCCATGGGGTGAATGGAGGAAGATGGAGGTCAAGGGGGTGGTGGGACACCAGGTGGACGTGGTTCTTCACCACGTGGTGACCACAGAGAAGCCAAAGCCACCTCAGGAGAAGGAACCAGACCTGGAGGTCACCAGGAGCACCAAGCCATGGGGCGGGAGGAGAAAGGTGGAGGTCAAGGGGGTGGTGGGACACCAGGTGGACACCATGGTTCTTCACCACGTGGTGACCACAGAGAAGCCAAAACCACCTCAGGAGAAGGAACCAGGAGGTCACCAGGAGAACCAAGCCATGGGGTGGATGGAGGACGATGGAGATGATGGGTTGGTGGAACTCCTGGTTCTTCTTATGGAAACCTTGGAGAACTCAAAACCACCTCAGGAGAAGGAACCAGGAGCTCCAACCCATGGGATGGAGAAGGATGATGGAGTTGATGGGTTGGTGGAACTCCTGGTTCTTCTCATGGTGACCTTGGAGAACCCAAACCCAGCTCAGGAGAAGGAACCAGGAGCAGCAGCTCATGGAACGAGAGGAGAAAGATGGAGGTCAAGGGGGTGGTGGGACACCAGGTGGAGTTGGACCTTCAGCATGTGGTGACCACAGAGAAGCCAAAAACACCTCAGGAGAAGGAACCAGACCTGGAGGTCACCAGGAGAACCAAGCCATGGGNCCCATTTTGGGGACCTTCTCCACCTTGGGGACCTCCCCCAGGACTTGGTGGCCATTTTGGGACCAACCCCCCAATTTTGGGGACCGTCCCATTTTGGGGGACCCCCCCTCCCAGCCTTGGGGACCATCCCAGGATCTTGGGGACCCCCCCACTGTGGGGACCTCTCCACTTTGGGGACCTGATGGAGATTTGGGGTCACCAAGGTGGGACCTGGAGGACCTGGAGAACATTGAGGGGCACCAAGGTGGGACCTGGAAGTGGTGAGGTCACCAAGGCGGGACCTGATGGAGATCTGAGGTCACCAAGGTGGGACCTGGAGAAGGTTTGGGGTCACCAAGGTGGGACTTGGAAGTGGTGGTGTCACCAAGGTGGGACTTGCTGGAGATTGGGGGCACCAAGGTGAGACCTTGAGGATCTGAAGAAGATTGAGGGTCACCAAGGTGGGACCTGGAGAAGGTTTGGGGTCACCAAGGTGGGACCTGGTGGAGATTTGGTGTCACCAAGGTGGGACCTGGAGAACCTGGAGAACATTGAGGGGCACCAAGGTGGGACCTGATGGACATTGGAGTCACCAAGGTGGGACCTTGAGGATCTGAAGAACATTGAGGGGCACCAAGGTGGCACCTGCTGGGGATTGGGGGGCACCAAGGTGGGACCTGCTGGAAATTGGGGTCACCAAGGTGGGATCTGATGGACATTGGGGTCACCAAGGTGAGACCTGAAGGATCTGAAGAAGATTGAGGGTCACCAAGGTGGGACCTGCTGGGGATTGGGGTCACCAAGGTGGGACCTGGTGGAGATCTGAGGTCACCAAGGTGGGACCTGGAAGTGGTGGGGGCACCAAGGTGGGACCTGGAGAACCTGGAGAACATTGAGAGGCACCAAGGTTGGACCTGGTGGAGATTGGGGTCCATCAGGGTGGCATGTGGAGGAACCAAAGGAGATTTGGGAGCACCAAGGTGGGACCTGGTGGAGATCTGAGGTCACCAAGGTGGGACCTGGAAGTGGTTGGGTCACCAAGATGGGTCCTGGTGGAGATTGGGGTCACCAAGGTGGGACCTGCTGGGGATTGGGGTCACCAAGGTGGGACCTGGAGAAGGTTTGGGGTCACCAAGGTGGAACCAGGAGATAGGGATCCTGGAAGTGGTGAGGTCACCAAGGTGGGACCTGCTGGAGATTGGTGTCACCAAGGTGGGACCTGATGGACATTGGGGTCACCAAGGTGGAACCTTGAGGAGCTGAAGAACATTGAGGAGAACCAAGGTGGCACCTGCTGGGGATTGGGGTCACCAAGGTGGGACCTGGAGAAGGTTTGGGGTCACCAAGGTGGGACCTGATGGACATTGGGGTCACCAAGGTGGGACCTGGAGAAGGTTTGCGGTCACCAAGGTGGGAAATGGGAGTGGTGGGGGCACCAAGGTGGGACCTGGAAGATCTGAAGAAGATTGAAGGGCACCAAGGTGGCACCTGCTGGAAGTTGGAGGTCACCAAGGTGGGACCTGGTGGGACTTGGGAGACACCAAAGTGGGACCTGCTGGAGGTTTGGGGACACCAAAGGTGGGACCTGGAAGTGGTGGGGACACCAAGGTGGCACCTGCTGGAACTTGGAGGACCCCAAGGTGGGACCTGGTGGAGATCTGGGGTCACCAAGGTGGGACCTGAAGAAGGTTTGGGGTCACCAAGGTGGAACCAGGAGAGGTGGGACCTGGAAGTGATGGGAGCACCAAGGTAGGACCTGGTGGATCTGAAGAAGATTGAGGGGCACCAAGGTGGGTCCTGCTGGACATCGGGTGTCACCACGGTGGGACCTGGAACTGGTGGGGGCACCAGGAAGGTCCTGCTGGAGATAGGGAGTCACCAAGGTGGGACCTGGTGGAGATTTGGGGTCACCAAAGTGGGACCTGGAGAAGATCTGGGGTCCCCAAGGTGGGTTGTGGAGGATCTGAAGAAGATTGAGGGGCACCAAGGTGGGTCCTGCTGGAACTTGGGGGTCACCAAGGTGGGACCTGGAGGGCCTGGAAGAGGTGGGGGCACCAAGGTGGGACCTGGAGAAGGTTTGGGGTCACCAAGGTGGGACCTGGTGGAGATTGGGGTCACCAAGGTGGGACCTGGAGGACCTGGAAGAGGTGGGGGCACCAAGGTGGGACCTGCTGGAGGTTTGGGGGCACCTGGAGGAGATCGGGGGAACCAAGGTTGGAGCTGGAGGAGATTTGGGGTCACCAAGATGACTCCTGGCAGTGGTGGGGCCACCAAGGTGGGACCTGGAGGACCTGGAGAAGATTGAGGGGCACCAAGGTGGGACCTGGAGGAGATCTGGAACACCATGGTGGGTCCAGGAGGAGATCAGAGACACCAAGGTGGGCTGGGCAGGACCAGGTGGAGATGGGTGCCCTGCTGGGTCCTGGAGGAGATGGTGGACACCAGGATGGGTCCAGAAGGAGGAGATGGACACCAAGGAGAAACCTGGAGGAGATGGTGGACACCAGGATGGGTCCAGTAGAAGGAAATGGACACCAAGGAGAGATATGAAGGACTTGGAGAAGATGATGGACACCAGGATGGGCCCAGCAGNGGTGACCACAGAGAAGCCAAAAACACCTCAGGAGAAGGAACCAGACCTGGAGGTCACCAGGAGAACCAAGCCATGGGGTGGATGGAGATGATGGGGTTGGTGGAACTCCTGGTTCTTCTCTTGGAGACCTTGGAGAACCCAAAAGCACCTCAGGAGAAGGAACCAGGAGGTCACCAGGAGAACCAAGCCATGGGGTGGATGGAGGAAGATGGAGATGATGGGTTGGTGGAACTCCTGGTTCTTCTCATGGAAACCTTGGAGAACCCAAAAGCACCTCAGGAGAAGGAACCAGGAGCACCAAGCCATGGGGTGGATGAAGGAAGATGGAGGTCAAGGGGGTGATGGGACACCAGGTGGAGTTGGACCTTCAGCATGTGGTGACCACAGAGAAGCCAAGGAACCAGGAGGTCACCAGGAGAATTAAGCCATGGGGAGGATGGAGGAAGATGGAGATGATGGGTTGGTGGAACTCCTGGTTCTTCTCATGGTGACCTTGAGGAGTCCAAAACCACGTCAGGAGAAGGAACCAGACCTGGAGGTCACCAGGAGAACCAAGCCATGGGGTGGATGGAGGTGATGGGGTTGGTGGAACTCCTGGTTCTTCTCATGGAAACCTTGGAGAACCCAAAACCACCTCAGGAGAAGGAACCAGGAGGTCACCAGGAGCTCCAACCCACGGGGTGGATGGAGAAGGATGATGGAGGTGATGGGGTTGGTGGAACTCCTGGTTCTTCTTATGGAGACCTTGGAGAACCCAAACCCACCTCAGGAGAAGGAACCAGGAGCACCAACCCATGGGGTGGGAGGAGAAAGATGGAGGTCAAGGGGGTGGTGGGACACCAGGTGGACATGGTTCTTCACCATGTGGTGACCACAGAGAAGCCAAAAACACCTCAGGAGAAGGAACCAGACCTGGAGGTCACCAGGAGAACCAAGCCTGGAGGTCACCAGGAGAACCAAGCCATGGGATGGATGGAGATGATGGGGTTGGTGGAACTCCTGGTTCTTCTCATGGAGAACCCAAAACCACCTCAGGAGAAGGAACCAGGAGGTCACCAGGAGCACCAACCCATGGAATGGAAGGAGGAAGATGGAGAAGACAAGGTTCATGGAGCTCCTGGTTCTTGAGCATGATGAGGTCACCATGGGGTGAAGTTGGAGAACCCAAACCCACGTCAGGAGAAGGAACCAGGAGCACCAACCCATGGAATGGGAGTAGAAAGTTGGAAGTGCTGGGATTGGTGAAACTCCCGGTTCTTCTCATGGTGACCTCAAAGAACCAAAACCCACCTCAGGAGGAGGACCCAGGAGCACCAACCCATGGGGTGGTAGAAGGGAAATGGAGATGATGGGGTTGGTGGAACTCTTGGTTCTCGTGTCACCATGAGATGAAATTGGAGAACCCAAACCCACGTCAGGAGAAGGAACCAGGAGGTCACCAGGATCTCATGGAATGGGAGAAGGATGGAGGTGATGGGGTTGGTGGAACTCCCGGTTGTTCTCATGGAAACCTTGGAGAACCCAAAACCACCTCAAGAAAAGGAACCAGGAGGTCACCAGGGGCACCAACCCATGGGGTGGAAGGAGGAGATGGAGGTGATGGGATTGGTGGAACTCCTGGTTCTTGAGCATGATGGGGTCACCATGGGGTGAAGTTGGAGAACCCAAACCCACCTCAGGAGGAGGAACGAGGGGCACCAACCCATGGGGTGGTAGAAGGGAAATGGAGATGATGGGGTTGGTGGAACTCCTGGTTCTTGTGTCACCATGAGATGAAGTTGGAGAACCCAAACCCACCTCAGGAGGAGGAACCAGGAGCACCAACCCCTGGAATGGAAGGAGGAAGATGGAGAAGATGGGCAAAGTCATGGAACGGTAGAAGGAAAACGGAAGTGATGGGGTTGGTGGAACTCCCGGTTCCTCTCATGGTGACCTCGAAGAACCCAAACCCACCTCAGGAGAAGGAACCAGGAGGT